GAGTAATACTTAGAAGAAATTTGTTCATTAGGTTTTGAAAATCCAAACTTTGCAATCATCATTACTGCCATATTTAATGTAAAAATTGGCTCACATTCTTATAATAAAAATTAAAATTTGGAGTAAATTGGAGTAATTAAGCATTTACAATTATCTTAAAAACGCATTATCTGTGTTCAATAACCTCAAAAATCTGAATTCAGTGCATTATTTTAGGATGTTTAACAAAACAGTTTTTTTTTCACATTTAAGCTGTAACGTACATCGCAGTAGTTAAAAATCGTTTCTTATATTTTCCAGTTTGAGTTCAGTGTTTATTTTACCAAGATCAAAATACGCGCCAATTTTGAATAACAGTACCCCTGTGACTGCTGGAATCATTTTAGATTCTGAGACTCTGTTTTTTCAAAAATTCAGAACTTGATTTTAAAAATTGTGTGGTTTCACGGTAGACTCAGAGGTATTTATCAGGATACTCTCGGAGAGTACTCTAAAATTTGAAGTTCACTTTGCTATAATGAGGCATTGTCAGGGTACTCTCCGGGGTTGCGTACTTTCAGGAAGTTTATACCTGGAACCAATAAAACTGCTCAACGCAGTTCCTTTGCTAGATATGACGTTTTTTTAAATTGAAATTGTCAATTTATGGTGAGGCGAATCAGGTAATTGTCAGCAATTGCAGATGTGGTATACATCCTAATACTATTTCTCAAATTGTTTGAGGTCTTGATTTGGACGTTTTTTTTATCTTATTTATTTCTTAACTAACTTTTGAACCAAGAAAAAAACCTTATGTTTTCAAATTAATTACGCTAGATTAATCCATTGATCATAAGATATCAGTACAGGCTAATTAAAAGAAAGAACTAAGCTCAACAAGAATCTCATTTATGAATTTAGAAATTTTGCCAAGGAAGTTGTTAAATAAAAAATGCAGTTGTATGCTATCGGCCATTTCATTGTTGTTTCAAAATACAAAATTTCAAACCCAGTAGTTCCGTTGGATTGACTTTTCAGTTTTAAAAAATTTTTCAAGCTGAAAATTTATCACCTCATTTTTTGAAGACACCAAGTTGAAAATATAACGAATAAACAAATATTTTAAAAAAATTTCCATTTTTTACCACGGTCAATTTGGAGGAAAAGCGTCCCAGTGAAATTGCCAGCAACAGTTGTAATGAGAAAGTTTTTTGCGCGTTAAGAAAGCCAAAAAAATTGGGTTAACTAACGTTGATTCGAAAACAAGAAAAATCTCAAGTATTCCTTCAAATTGTTTCCGAAGATGCGCGTAAAACTGTTATTCAACAACGGAAGCAACTTTGGAGATTAAAAAATTTTCAGACCAAAATCAGGTAGGTCGACAATAATTAGAGATACAATAAACTAATTTTTGTAAGCCGAAAATTTTCCGAAAAAGCTTGTCCAGATTCCTAAACTATAGTGAGTGTGTTTCAAAATCATTTGCTACTATTAAGCGTTGTGACGTTCATTAAACAAAATGAGCAATAAAAAATATCAACCAAAACGTATGCAGTAATTTTCGAACAAAGTTACTTTTGTGGAAAGAATAAAACAACCAAATAATTTATCGAAATATATTTAGGTTAGTTTTTTATTGGGTCGATAGCGTCGGTATTTTAAGTTTTTTAAAGTAGATAGCTTAAGGTGAACTAATTTCGAAAGGAAAACCAGACATTAAAATCGATTTAAAAAATTGAGGCAAAACTAGCCGACTGCAATAAAGCCGACAACTAAGAAGCTGAAAAGCATTCGAAAATATAACAAAATAAGCAGGAAAACAAATCTGGTTACGAAAGTATGCTTAACTTTGAATCAACGCAGAGACTAAGCTGCGGTTCGCAAACATTTGCAAGAACACGATCAAAAAGCAGCTCTATCAATTGAAAAAAAAAGTAGAAACAAGCTTCGAATTAGCAAAAACTCGGCTACGTGTAGGATTCGAATCTGCGACCAACTGGAATCGAGAGATTGTGAGTCTCACGCCCAGCCCTCTTGCCCACGAATACTTAACAACTGGTAAACACTAGTCTTAAATGAAGCAGCTACATATGCTAACTAACTGCCAAAGCATTGCAACAAAAATGGCACGAAACATAAATACTCTCAATTTTGCAAGTAATAAATTGGAGTATAACAAACTGAAGGTATCAACACTAACTTTGCATCTAACAAATCGCCAATCATAAAGCCATTTTTAATATAAATTATGCATTTCAAAAAACTGAGATATTTTAAGCTAGAACATTTCTGAAATTGACTTTTCATTGTAGTTTCAAACAAATCATTTTTTTTCTGGTTCATTTGATGAAACAAAATGCATCAACTGTGGTCATCAACTTTTTACTATTCGATTGTCAAAGCACATGCTACGAAAACACTGTAGCGCTTCCCCAAAAGTGGCACAAATATTTGAAACTTAGGCAAAAATAAATTGTTTGCACAAATACACTCACTTTGCAAGTGTGAAGAATTTTAAAAAACCTAATTGGCAACAGGCTTAATCGAAACTTGCAAAATAATATCATTTAAAATCATTAACCAAAAATTAAAAATTCAACAAAAAGCAAACACTACCAAGTTTAACAAGATTTGAATTACAAAAGAAGCTTGAAAACAATCTGAAAAAGCAGCTATTCAATAAGTATCAAGGCAAAACTTATTTATCAAACTGACTGATATACTTCTAAATAATTAAACGAGCAGATATTAACTTAATGTTACTTACCAATGCAGATAGTTGCATCACTTGAATCTGGTTCGTATCTAAATTTACAAGCACACGTGAACGATCCCACCTAATTGGTAGTCTGCATTCAAATGGCAATTGTCAGTACCGCGAGTACACTCATCATCTAAATGAAAGATTTTTTGATAAATTCTTATCAGTTTGACAAAAATAGATCAATCGATAAAACTTTGATTCAGCTGGGAAACCTAATACTTTCTTCATTAGAAGTCGATTATAAAAAATCTCCAAAATCGTTAAAAGTCTTCACTACGTTTATCGACTCTGTACACAGAGGCGAAACTGCGCTTGGCAAACACTTGCGAGATCACGACCAAAAATCAGCTCTATCAAGTTGATGAATAAAAGTGGAATTAAACCTCGATTTAGCAAAAACTCGGCTACGTGTAAGATTCAAATCTGCCACCTACTGCATTCAAGAGAATTTTAGTCTCACGCACTATCCCCTTAGCCATCCAAGCTTAACAACTGAGAACAATAGTCACAAATAAAGCAGCTACATATGCTAAAAAAAAATTGGCAATGCGATTCAGCACCAAATACAGACTCAATTTTGCAATTAATATTTTGTAATAAAACAAGCTGAAGGCATCCACACTAACTGTGCATGTAACAAACTTCAATGCATAAAGCAACATTATGTACAAATTCAAGTTTCTGAAATCGAGTTTTTACACATGCGAAGCATTGCAAGAACACGACCAAAAATCAACTCTATCAAGTGACATATAGGAAAAAGTAGAAATACGCCTCGAAAATTTAAAAACTAGATGCTAAGCGAAAACTCGAATTAGCAAAAATCTTCCGACCTAGCAAATTTGAGTCTCACGCACTAACCATTCAGCCACGGATGCTTAAAATTCGCGAAAACTAGTCACCAATAACGCAGCTACACATGCTTATCAATTGTCATTTCGATGCAGCAAAAGTAGCACTAATAACAAAAAGGTTGATTTTGCATGTAGTAAATTGCAAATTATAAAACCACATAATGCATTAAATTTTCATTTCAAAAAATTGCGAAACATATTGAGTTAGAAAGTTTCCGAAATCGAGATTTTATTACTGTTATGTTGTTTGAATTAAATCGCTTTTTTGGTTTGTTTGATGAATTAACAAAGAAACAACTGTGATAACTTGTTAATAATTGAATGTCAAAGCTCATGCAATCAAAAAGTCGTTGAGGTGAAACAAATAAGCTGTCATGCCATATCGATAAAGCAAGTATTTTTGCTTAAAGTCGAAACATTATTTGCGATGAAAAATTGCCAGATAAAAGAGATATAAAAAGAAAGTTCGTGCTATAACACTTTTCTTCACAAGTGTAATTATTGTGATGTTGTTTCAAACGAAAATTTTTATCGGTTCATTTGATCAATTAAAAATGCATCAACTGTGTTAATTTATTACTATTCGAATGTCAAAGCACAAGCTATCAAAAAGTTGTTAAGGTGCCTCACCATTATTGGGCTGCCGCACCAATATTTGCGACTTAGGTTGGAAAAAGAGAAGATTCATACTGATACACTAGCTTCGCAAGTGTAAAAATCGCCAATTTTCCTTTGCTATTCTTTCATCACGCTACACAGGAAAAAACGTCACCAAATTTAAAAAATATGTATTTTTTGGTACTTTTTAAGACAATGGTCGGGATATTCAGTGCTGATTGCACAGTTAACGGCCATCTTTATTGGATTTTGCAAATTGTAAAGTGATTCAGTTGTTTCAACTTTTCGTCATTAAATCAATTGTTCAGTTTTTAGTTTTGCAAGAATTAGACCGCTTTTGATATCTAATATTGAAAGCTATCATTTAAATGAATAATCAGTTTTCAACCACAAATGATACCTCAAGGATGGTTCTTGTTTAATAATCTGTTTTAAATTATCAAACCACCTTTAAAGTCAAAGTGGCGGCCTCAAAATGTCAAAGCACATGCTATCAAAAAGCTGTTAAGGTGCCTCACCATTATTGGGCTGCCGCACCAATATTTGCGAATTAGGTTGGAAAAAGAGAAGGTTCGTACTAATACACTAGCTTCACAAGTGTAAAAATCGCAACTTTCCATTGCTACTAGCAAAATAATTGAGACCTTGATTCTTCTGAAAAGAATGTACTTGATGCAAGCGGCCTCAAAATCCAGAAAAATAGCATAAAACAAGCTGGTCGAGCCGTCGGATGCATCACACTCAATCCTGCTGAAAAAAAGCTTCTAGTGGGGTCTAGTACCCAATTGTATTACACTTGCTGATTGAAAGGATAATAAATTGCAGATAAAAACATCGAATATGGGTATATATAAATACAATCAGCTAGTTCTTTTGAGTTTTACTCAAGTCCATTTCGATGTAGTTTATTCTTTTCTCTCGGCGGTGATTCTTTTTAGGATTCACAGGGTGTTCATGTTGTGAACTGTGACACCTTGAACGATTTCACGAATTCTTCGATGAAGATGGGCAGTGCATCTGCTACAACCAGTGAGGTTTCATTCAACTCCTGTAACAAAAAAATTAATATAGTTTAAAAATTCGGACACTTATTCCAATATATCAATCTGCAAATATCCTTTTGAATCAAAACCATTACGAAAAATTAAATCTGCGACAAGAAATCAGCGAATACTTTCAAATTGTGCGCCTACAATTGTTGAAAATTGAACGGCTTCAGGTATGCTAAACTCGATGTTTGCATGGTTTTGTGATTAGTTAGGGATTCGATCAAAAATTATCAGACAGAGAGCGAAAGAATTTTTACCTTTAACTCGGTTCGAATGCTGTAAGTGGGGGCTATTTCAGGCGCAAAAGAAGTGCCCTTCCCAATTTTTCTCACTCCCTACTTTTTCAAAAACAAATAGTGTTTTGTGGCAATTTTTTGAGCTTTGACATTGACCTGTGAGATGGAGGTGACGTCACAGTCTTCTAATCCACAGGGCACTACATGTGAGAACCAGTTGAGGTCAGTGTTCACATTGAGAGCCAGGCCATGAGTGGTCACTCCATCAGATACATTCACACCTAGAAACAGACAGACATACAAACACTGATAATTGAAAAAGAATTAGTCTGAAGAAAAATATCCGAAAAAACTAAATAGGTTATTTTTGTGCAGACTGCAATTTTTATAAAATAACTATATGTAGGATATCACCGTAAATTTCTGACGTAAGATGGCAATTACACACTGTTAATGCCCTAATTTAACCGTTTATGCCCTAATTTTAACTTTCTCAAAACATGCGTTAAATGAATCAATTTGGGCTGGGCTCAAAATTAATATCTGAAAAATCTGTCCATCTCCCTCTTAACTGATTCTCCTCTAGATTGAACGGTTGATCCCATGAAGGTCTCAACTTAATCAGGCGGAGTCGCGATTATCTGAATACAGCTGGTGAGCCGATAAAGACAACTGAGAATGAACTGATTGCTACTATTCATTCAATTTATTGACATGAGAACGGGCGTGGCTTTTATATAATAATATAATTTAATACGAAAAGATTTAGGGCACTAATCCAGGGGTTTGGTAAGAACCCTTTTAATGACATGTTCTAAGAATTTTTTAATAGTTCAGTTTTCTCGTTTCATTGCATCTCTTTCGAAAGAAAGCTTTGTATACTTGAAGAAGTTTTGTTTTCCGGTGTTGATCGTATAGGATATCTTCTCTAAAGTAGTCGTTGAAAACGTTGGACCAATGGCATGCACAGATCAAATCGGAATCACATTTTTTTTTCAGTCTCGTGGGAGTAACTGTACAGTAGCAGGCTCATTGATTTCGTGTTTCTCCAAGTTCAGAGATTGAGACGTAATCAGTCCAATTGACGAAAATTTTACCGTTGATAACTTTGCTGAATGAGAATCAGGTGCAGTTTCTGGTATAAGAAAAATAAAATAGCAATTTCTAGAAGCTTCTCTTGGTATTTGGATGCAAATATCCAGGTTAAAGCTTTTCTTTGCACACCTCAATGATTTGGCATCCATAAATCTGAACCGTAGCTGATGATATGTGCCACGTAGCAGCTGTATGCATTCTTCCGGATGACAAAGACGGTCCTGGCTACAATTCGTTTAACAGTGCAAAGGGTATTTGACGGCTTTTTCGGCTCTCTTCTTTACATGAGCTGTCCACGAAGTATTCAGACACTGGAACTTCTAAGTGTTTAATTACTTCAGCTCTTGCGAATGTGTATTTGGAAAGTGACACACTTCGGGGGCCTTTGAAGGCAAAAAATTCAATTTTCGTTGAATTCATTGACATGAAATTGTTGGTGCACCGTCTATATATTCTTGTCACGTCAATATTGATTGTATTGGGTTTGTTGTCAATTTTTTTGAAATCACCCGTACAGCCAAAGTTAGGTGAGATGATGCTGTCGAGTCAGTCGTTTATGTACACCTGGAAAAAAGGAGCCCTAAGCGATCTCTGTGGTTTTCTGCTTAACACAGATAGTGCACATGATGTTTTCATTGATTCTGACCGTTTGCCATCGGTCTTCAAAGCAATTCCACATCACTTATCAGCACTATAACACTTATTTTCCATTTAAGTGGAAAAGCTGCTTTTTTGGCGATTAGGTTGAAAACCATGTGCAGAGACTTTGGTATCGATTCGGCTAGATTTTTGAGGAAAGCATTGCTGATATTGTCGACACCTTTAACCGTGTTTATACTCATATTAGGGATTGCAGTTTGTATTTCATTCGAGAAAGTTAATGCATTCAAACTTTCGCTCCGAATGGTAGGGTTCATTCGGGATTCGTAGTCGATTTCCGAGAAGACGGATTGAAAGCAGTGATTAAATAGCTCAGCTTTTCCCAGATAGGTTTTTCTGGCTGAAGGTATTTTTCCGATGGAAAGCATTTTGCCTTTGATATAGATTTAAGATGCTTCTATAAATCCGAGAACTTGCTTTCCTTGTACATTTTTGTTTCGTGAATGCACCGACCATTTTGCAGTGGTATTATTAAATTTTTATTTAAGTTTTTAAGCTTGGTTTAGATTTGGATCTATTTTCCTTTTGACGTTGAGTTTCTTTATCAGGTTTGAGGATTCACTCCCAGGCAATGACGCCAGGGTAGTGCGGCGCTTTATTTTTATGAAGAATCTTTTGAAGTATTTCACATAGTTAATCCTACCAGCGGTTAACTACTAACGACATTGCTTTTGCAGTTCGGGATGAAATGGTCGTCAATTTTGTGTTATTTGATTTTGCGAAGTAGTTTTTTTTTAGCTTTGGAAGAGATTTTATATTGTTTCTGTTGAAAATCTATGCTCTTCATTTGGTTTTCGACAACTACATTGAGAGTTATTTGCGGCTAAAATATAGCAATCAATTGCAAATGAATCCAACAAAAATAGCGAGATTGATATTATAATTGATGTCAGTTCCAATTTAAGTTGGTGAGCGACTTGCAATAAGTTTAAATTTCATTTAAGTAAAAAAAACCGTAGCAATCAAATAGCTGCAAAAGTGATATTATATATAAAAGAAAAACGAAATACAGATGCGAAGCGGAGCTTTGCACCGCGATACAATACAGACATAAAACAAGCCGAAAAAAAAACTTAAATGTTAAAAAAATAAGTGAACCATAATTTTCGTATGTCTCGATAAAAAACAAGGGGCCCACCTAAAGCTGGAGGTACGTGTTTGATATTGAATGAATTTGCTATGCTGATGCGGCACAAGAAATGTGATTAAAAAATGTACTTTGCACAAAATGGGTAAAATGAGAAGAGTGAAAGTTTTGAGATAATCAATTTTCCCAAGGAGATAACATTTCTCATACAAAAAACAAGGGAGTAGAAGCTTCTGCAGCAACAACTATCGCAACTAGTTGTTACAATTTAAAATTGATGATTTGATTTGAAACAATAGGGCATAGCTGCTTATGCACAAGGAATTTAATCAAATCTGTAATTTCGATTGAACCTAAAATCTTAGATCTGAGAGGGTAGTTCTTGAGAAAAATTAAAAACTTCAAAAAAAAAAGGTCAAAAATTTGACTTTTCTGGGGGCCATAACTTTGGGCGTCAGAAAAATTTGGAAAGAGTTGCATAAGCAACCGAGCTTTCCACAACCCGTTCTTTGAATTGAACTCGAAATTTCAGATATGGCAGGGTAGTTTTTGAGATTATTCAAAAAGTTTGAAAAACGGTCAAAAATCAAAAAGTTGACTTTTCCGGGGGCGATAACTTTTGCGAAAAAATTCTCTGTGAGTGGCCGCTAATGCAAGGGAGTTTCCCCACGACCCGCTATCTCGATTGAACGCACAATATCAGGTTTGAGAGGTTAGTTTCCGAGAAAGCGAAAAAAAAAAAAAATATGGGTCAAATATTCCCCCGGATTTTTTCGGAGACTGTAGACAGAGGGGTGAAAGAGACTCCGGGAGTAAAAGGTGTGAAAGAGACACCAGCGGAGTATACAGGCACACAGAGGAGTAGGCGGTCTTTCAATTGATACCTCTTTTTTGAAAATCAGTGGAAGTTTCTGAGAAAAACTATGTTTTTTCCAACAAATTTGGAAATTTTTTTCCATAATGAAATACAGCCAACTTGAAACGTGCAGAAGAGAGTGTTAAAATTGTGTTTCTCTCTAAACGACCCCAAAATAAGGTCAATAAACCGACAAAAAAATAGGCCAAAATAATTCGGGCCGAGTAATTTTTTTATCGAAACAAAAAAATCATAGAAAATACGAAGTCAAGGTAATAGAAATTACAAATTCTAGGAGTAAATCAAACACTAAAAAGAGCAGCATTGAAGAAAAACGCGCAAAACGAATAAAAACGATTCCAAGATGTCACAACTAAGCGAAAAAAACACACCTGACAATAGTTGGCCATCCTAGGCATATATATTCGTTACCTCGAGGCTAAGTTGGCCGGGAACGCATAGAAGAGTGAGATCATTATGAACCAAGATACAAGTGATTCTGTTACACAAGTTGTTAACCTGAAAGAAGTCGATATTCCAATTTTATAACGCTTGCTGATCGCAAGCGTAAGCAAGGAAACAAAAAACAACTTCTTTGAAAAAACTTCAATTTTTAATGGATTTAACCCAATTTGAGACAACTAGATCAACAGAAAAAAAATTATTTCACTGGAAAACCTGAACATTAAAATCCAATTTCGAAACTAGAAATCAATCACGTTTTTTGTGACTTTTACACTTTCACTGTTCAATAGCGGAGTTTGCCTTCCTTTTTCCCGAAGAAAAAAGATCAAAAAAATCACCAAGACATATATAAGAGTCTTTACTACGTTCATTGCTCTTAAACTTTACAAAACCAAATGAAATGAAGTGAAAATTCACAGGAGAGTAGTTTCGAACAGAAAACAAGGTCACAACGTCCTTTGTTGTAAGGATACCTGTAGCAGTGTGACCTTGTTCCAAGGCTAACAGTCTTAAACAATTTCACTCCCCTTCCATCAACTTCCTATATAGACACAGACACGTGGGTGGTCTTATCAAGGGACCAATGCAGATAAAACTAGAGCTTCAGCTAGCTAAATAAGCTCACCCAATCCGCATATCTTCCTCCGCGTCTGCAAGCGTAAGCAAGGAAACAAAAAAATTTGTTTGAAAAAACGTCTATTTTTAATGAATTTAAACCAATTTGAGACAACTAGATCAACAGAAAAAAATTATTTCGCTGGAAAACCTGAACATTAAAATCCACTTTCGAAACTAGAAATAAATCACGTTTTTTGTGACTTTTACACTTTCACTGTTCAATAGCGGAGTTTGCCTTCCTTTTTCCCGAAGAAAAAAGATCAAAAAAATCACCAAGACATATATAAGAGTCTTTACTACGTTCATTGCTCCTAAACTTTACAAGACCAAATAAAATGAAAGTTCACAGGAGAGTAGTTTCGAACTCAAAACAAGGTCACAACGTCCTTTGTTGTAAGGATACCTGTAGCAGTGTGACCTTGTTCCAAGGCTAACAGTCTTAAGCAATTTCACTCCCCTTCCATCAACTTCCTATATAGACACAGACACGTGGGTGGTCTTATCAAGGGACCAATGCAGATAAAACTAGAGCTTCAGCTAGCTAAATAAGCTCACCCAATCCGCATATCTTCCTCTGCGTCTGCAAGCGTAAGCAAGGAAACAAAAAAACTTGTTTGAAAAAACGTCAATTTTTAATGAATTTAAACCAATTTGAGACAACTAGATCAACAGAAAAAAATTATTTCGCTGGAAAACCTGAACATTAAAATCCACTTTCGAAACTAGAAATAAATCACGTTTTTTGTGACTTTTACACTTTCGCTGCTCAATAGCGGAGTTGGGCTTCCTTTTTCCCGAAGAAAAAAGATCAAAAAAATCACCAAGACATACATAAGAGTCTTTACTACTTTCATTGCTCTTAAACTTTACAAGACCAAATGAAATGAAAATTCACAGGAGAGTAGTTTCGAACAGAAAACAAGGTCACAACGTCCTTTGTTGTAAGGATACCTGTAGCAGTGTGACCTTGTTCCAAGGCTAACAGTCTTAAACAATTTCACTCCCCTTCCATCAACTTCCTCTCTAGACACACACACGTGGGTGGTCTTATCAAGGGACCATTGCAGATAAAACTAGAGCTTCAGCTAGCTAAATGAGCTCACCCAATGCGCATATCTTCCTCTGCGTCTGCACGCCTTTTTCAATTCCACCTCCTTTGGTGCGCCCTTTGAGCCAAACGCCTGTGTATTTAGACTCATTGAGGAGATAAGTGTCATGCAGTCCGAATCTGTCGCACACTCGCATCACTAACTGCTCCAGTCTGTTCACATACTCCTTCACTGTTATTCCTCTCTTCTGCAAAAGTAATTAATGGTTAAAGATAGGCAAGTCTCATCGATGCTTTCAACTTTATGTATGTATGTATTATGGATTCACCCTGTGGGCCCAGGATTACTCCTTTAACCAAGATGAGTTTAGCTGTTCGAAAGTTCGTTGTAATTTGTTTCTAAGTGTCTCCATATCCCCAAAATATCAAAGCGTATCCCGAGTATTTCTCAACCACAATTTTGAAGACAGTTGCATTGGAGCAGAAACAAGTAACCCTGCTACTCCAAATGCAATCTCATTACCTTAATATCAATAATAGGGTATGCTACCAGCTGCCCGGGACCGTGAAAGGTAATTAGACCTCCGCGATCTGTTTTGAAAAATTGAGCTCCCAACTTCCGCAGCCTCATTTCCTCGCTCTTAGAGTAAAACGAGGATCTCTTCCCAATTGTGTAGACAGGTGGGTCGTGCTGGCAAGTAATTAGGCATTCACTTGGGCTGTGTGATTCGGGCGTTCCTCGAGCTTCGAGAACCGATTTCTTAACTTGGTACTGTAGTTCTAAACCTGCCCTGTAGTTCACGCGACCCAAATTCAGCTGTCTCAACTTCATGTTTGAGAAAACAAAACAAAAAACATTGTCATCTACAACACGGCGACAAAATAAACAACTTGATCAGAAGGTCAAAAGTATCATAGTAACCGAGGTTACAGTCAGGAGTCCCTTCTTCACGTATTCCAGTCAAAATCCTTGGAATTTTCTAGATATGGAGGTGATAATGATAAAAGAAGATGACAAGTGTTGATGTCCTTATAAATAAAATCGATACGGGTTACGTTTCTCCAATAAGAACACGCAACTCGACACGAGAAAATATAATATACAATTGTTCCAAATAAAAATTTTTGTCGAAAGTTATTTTGTCATTTATTGTTCCGAGAATGCAAGTAGCGTTCGCAATCTGTATTGCCAGGGAGATTCTCTGTTTTGAAAAGCGGCCTGCTCTGGGTTCCTGTGCTTATGCTTACGTTCTTACAAAGCTAGCTTGCTCAAAAAATATTTCTGTGCTGGGGCCGGCCGCGCCCTGAATCTCAGAATGTGAAATTGAATGGACGAAAATGCAATTTCGGATTATTAGCAGCTAACCTTCAGAATTTGCAGTTTTGGAGGATTAACGGTGTTATTCGCACGATTGAACGAATCGGGAAGGCTAGAATATTCTGGTATTTTAAATTTTTAAAACTTCGAACGATGACGTCATATTTCTGAGAAACGTCAAAATCGGCCATTTTAGAAGAAATCCAAAATAAAACAGAGCAACAATAGTTGCGACGGCGACAACAACGATAATTGAACGAACAGCAGAGTTAGCAGAGACCGCTCCGAGTTGCAACGATTGTGTCGCTACAATCGTTGCAAGGCCATTCACAACAACGGTGAAGGGTAGAAACCAGCCTTCTAGAGAGGAGATAAGGGTGTTATTTCCCCGGATTCAAGAATCCGGAGGGGACTCGGGACTGGAACTTACATCATTTTATATAAACTTTTAGCTTCCCGATTATGTCCTGAATTGAATTTATTTAACATCTGAATTCATTTTCCGACGATGAGAAGCTAGGAGTTAAGGAAAAGGGTTGATCCATCTTCGATGGAGATGATGATTTTTATCTACTGAACAAAAACAATAGTAATATAACAAATAGTAGTAGCCCTGTTTTTAGGAGTGACCTCGTGGTCTGGGGATACTGAGACCCAGTCATGAGCTCATTAATTTTGCATGTAAACCAGTTAGTTTGAGTATTTTGACCGAAGCCGAAGGCAGTAACGTTGTTGTCGACCCGATGTTAGAAAGACCACCAAAAGAACTGGCTTTGGTAGAGACGGTGAAAAGCATGGAGAGCTTAAGTTAGACGCTGGCAAGTCGTTTCATAACTTAGCTTTATTTTCCGTCGATGTGTACTTCCGGGCGAATGTTACAGAAGCTAGCGGTTGAAAAAGATACTCATCAGCTACTAGATCTTTATACTTGTCATTTTTTTGCTCTTCCGCTTCAGCGGCAGCCGTACCAGGGTTACAAACAGACCCGGCACTACTTCTACTTGGAGCTAAGGAGTCTGTTACTGTTACATTCTACAAGAGCTGCTTATCAGCAGTCCATGGAACGAGAGTCAAACCGTCTGGTCGCTTCTGATCGGTCCTGTAGAGGTGTCGTGGTTCTGAAACAGACGGAATGAGAGAATGTAAACTCTGCTTTATAAGGGCATTCAGGTTTGAATGCCTAGAGAATCTCCCCGCACTTTTGAGTCAAGAAAGACCATGTAAACCATCTTCGAAGAAATGTTTGCTAAAAAGTAAATTTCAAAAGTTTTCGCAACAATGTGCATCGTCAGGATTTTTACAATAAACTAATCCAAATGACAATAAAACATCAATTTACAAGTGTTAATTACAATAATTTACATACAAATTGGTTCTAAATATAATGTTAAAAAATCAGCCAATCACAGTTGACCTCTAAATTACTATTAAGATTAAAATACTTTTAACCTCTAAAATTAAACATTTTAAAATTAATTTTTCTGGAAAATTCTGAGTCTTGATACTGTAGTTCTAAAGCTGCTCTGTAGTTCACGCGACCCAAATTTAGCTGTCTCATATCATGTATGAGAAAACAAAACAAAAAACATTGTATTGTTTCACATACAAGTCCTGACTTTCACATACAAATTAGGAATTGTATGTGAACTCCTGGCCTATCCCTTGATAACAACTTGCTGAACCAAGGAAAGAACTTCCGACGATTACTGGAAGACAGTCCACTGAAGGAGAAAAAAGTGGTTGTGTGGCACGACGTGGTAAACAACACCATTAGCAGCCACAGAACAAACAACTATCGCCCAGCCAGTGTCGAGGAGCTGACAAAATATTTGAAAACGGAGAAGCAGCAGATATTGGCACTCGTCTATTGCAGAAGAGAAGTAACGCCCGACTTGTTTAGTCAGCTTCTCGGCAAAAGAGTTCTCATTATTCCAGCTACAAAACGGCTACTCTCCAAGAGCAAGCAAAACGACCCGGAGCAGCTCAAGGAATATTTGAAGCTGCAACAGAGTGTTGAATTAGAGCTGAAATCTCTGCGATTGGTAGTGACACACAAAGAAAGGCTGTCAGAGCTGATTGGCAATATCAGGGGCAAACAACAGAGACCATCACAGACAAAGAGGAAGGCCAAAGCAAGACGTGAGCAGAAGCTGAAGGCAGAGGAAGTGTCTGCGCTTCAAAGACAGGGGTGAGAAGAGTGGGATTTGTTTTGCTTTGTGCCTTGTGAGTTTCATTACTCGTGGCCTGCAAAACAATGACCACAGTACTTTTGCCTGCTGTTTGGCTCAGAAAAATTTGAAAAAAGAAAAGTAACTCGGAAAGTTGTGTTGGACTATTTAAAATTCTTTTAAAAAGTTCTAGTATCTCTACATAGACTGAAGTTTTTGAGAAAATGTGTGAAACGATCTAATGCCGGATTTTTTGAAGTTTAGGGTCACCGAGAACGGTTTTTTTTTCGGACCAAGCTGTGCATAATTTTCAATTGAAACTACTAAGGACTGAAACTTTTAGGGCATTTGAGGATAGGAAATGTACGAGGAGATGCTAATGAAAGCAAGATCACTGGTGAAAAAAAGAAATTGATAAACAGTGGTGGGCAACCATTTTCAGCTTCGTGGGGCGTCAAATTCAGGCAAGCTTAAAGACAACATCAGAAAACCGCAGAAAAAACTTAGAAAAACTGTCCGAGAGACAAGATAAACCTCTTGGGGGGAGAAATGAGCGATCAGTTAAGGTATTTGATAACATTGAACTGCCTGGATGGGTATATAAAGTGCTATCAATGGGCCGGAAGCATCCCATTAGAGACAAATTATTGAAACACACTTTTTGGCGGACATCGACATTTTCCTCTCACAATTGAAAAACCAAAAAACATCTGGTGAAACGTTTTGTGAAATAGAAGCCGCGGCAAAGGCATATGCAAAAAACTTAAAGCAAACCCCAAGAGACAAAGTGAAAAAATATCTCAAAGATAATGGTTTGCTGGCTGTGCCTTTTGATAAAGGGGTTGGTTTTTGCATAATGAGGAAAAGAACGTTTGAATCAAAGCTGGAGTCCTTGTTGCAATCTGCTCAGTTTGTGAAAAAAGATGCAACCATTGATGAGGTTATACTGAAAACTGAGAAGGAACTGAACAAAAAATTACTAGCCATGAACAAAAGAGACGAGATAAGTGATCAGTTAAATTCTAAGATAAGGTCAACAGGGGGCAACCCGCCCGTTTGTACGGTTTAGCTAAGGTACACAAGGCTGAGACACCCCTAGGACCAGTACTATTACTTCCAGGCAGCTCGTATGAGACTCTTAACAAAATGCTTGCAAAGTTTTTTGACAACATCGATGGGGCCAATATAGAAACCAATACTAAAGAGGCCAGAGAAACAATTGAAAACTTTGCTCTAGATCCGGATGAAACCATAATATCTCTTGATGTGAAAAAATTGTAAATTGTACATTAACGTTCATTTGAAGGAGGCAATTGAATTTTTTTTACAGTAGCTGTACAGCCAGGAGTCTCCTCCTAAAATTCAAAGAGCAACCATGAAAAGGCTTTTGAATATGGCGGTCAGCAAAGTATATTTCAAGTGTAATGATTAATGGTATGTAAAAGATGATGGTTAGGCAATGGGCGCGTCCCTCGCTGTAATTCTGGCAAACTTATGGCTGAAAGAGTACGAGTTTGCTCTAAGACAAAAAATACCGGTGGGAACGGAGATACAGCAAATTAATGACAAAAACGTCTTGTGCCCATGTTGCAGCAGGAAAGTCACATATAGATCAAAGGGGTTGAATGCGAGAGTTGCCGAAACTGGTATCATCTAAAATGCGGAAAAACATCCGATGACGTATACGCATCAAAAACCCAGATAGTCTGGTACTGTGAAAGCTGCTGCCAAGCTAAGAACAAGGAGAAGGATACTCCCCAGGTGAAATTGTTCCTCAGGTATGTGGATGACATTGTTAGAACAGTCAGAGGGGAGCCGAGTTGTCTTCTCGATGCCGCCAATTCTCTTCATCCAAATCTGCAGTTCACTCTAGAGAAAACTAATTCGGAGGGGAATATGCCGTTCCTGGATTTGAACATAAATATATCGTAGGGTAGGCGTGTAACTTGCAGATGGTATCAAAAACCAACAGATACAGGGACTATACTGAACTATAGAAGCTGCGCCCCAACTCAGTATAAGCGTTGTGTTATTCAAGGCACTATACACAGGAAATTTAGGATTACATCTAGCTGGGAGCATTTTGATAAGGCTATGGAAACTAATAGCGCGCAATGGCTGACGAATCATTACCCTGAAAATTGGTCAGCAAAGGTGGCTTCAGACGCCTTGTGCAAGATCATCGAGGGTAAGGGCAAGCCCCTGAATAGTGAGAGGTGTTTGTCAATTCAATCACCAAAAGATGTGAAGCTCCCAATGCTGATAGTGCAATATAGAGGTAACCAGAGCCAATATTTTGCTAACAGGTTACGAAAAATAACTAACGTTCAAGTGGTTTTCACCACAAGAAAACTAGAATCATGATTACCATCACT